GTCTCTGATTTGTTGTTTCAAGAACCAGACCTTTGAAGCCAAACAGAAAGTATATCTAGCAAGTCCGAAGATTCAATAGAATCTTTTTATCAACACAACCATGCAAATTGCTTATAATAGGTCTGGCGGAGCAAAGGCCAAACTTGAAACCAATTGTTCTTTCCGTGAACAAAAGCATTAACATTGACTCCTACCAAAGTTTGTAACCTATGTTTCATAAGACAAGGGTTCCGTGGACAAGTGAAAATGAGCAGTGATGTTTTGGCTTTTGCTTGTTTCAACACTGCGTCAGTTGATATATTGGCAAGCTATGAAGAACATGATTCTTATAGAGATGAAGTTAAGGAGAATATACCTAACTATGAGCATATGATTAGTAGAGAAACACTTGTATAGCTACAAGTTTGAATTTGTATAAACGAGTCGGAAGAGAAAACAAAGAGAATGCTTGAATGATGCTAATGACAAGATTAAAAAATTAAAGAAACAACAAAAACCGAGCTTTTAAGAATCATGAAACAATACTGGCTTGATCAAAAGAAGACACAAAAACCCCTATCCGAGAAAAACAGATGGAATCTCATCATCAGGTAATCAAATAGCTTGTTGTCTAAGTATTCTAACTCTACCAATGTTAGATACAATTGTACCAGCCAAACAAATCAATTGGAGTGCAGCTGAGCCAATCTTTCAAATCCCTACCAAGCTTTTCTTGATCCCAGAATAAATGATCCAAAGAAGATGTTATAATCTAACCAACGATAACTCTTACAAATTGAACAAAAAAAGAAGTCAGCTTATAAAAAAAGGGAAGAGGAAAGTTTGAATCTAAAAGAAAAGATGGGGTCTTACTTTTTTTTGGTTTTGCATTTCTAGAAGGTGATTGAGATAGATAGTCAGCACATCTATCACAACATGGAACACTGAATATGGAGGTGGTGAGGACAGGACAAACCACAAGTGGATCCAGTGGTGCAATGATTGGATTGGGCGGATTGAGTGGATTGGGTTGAAAACATTCCACGTGGTGAGCACGGAACGGGAGGGAGCATGTGACCCAAGACCTTGTCTCGGGAGATCTTGGGGTTTGGGGTTGACTCAATCCAGGGTGTGATACAGGTTTGCTGCGCTGCGCGTCAGCTGTATTTGGGGGGGGAAAACGTAAAAAAAATGCGAGTAGGACATGAATTTCTAGAATAGCTGTATTTTACAGTCATCTCTGAGATAACCCATACCTTTTCATGGACCCCAAAAGGTATGGGTTTTTATAGAGTATGGGCTAGCAAGATTCTCTGCAATAACCCATACAAGCAAATTCATGGGTTATTGCAGAGAATTGTTTCAGAAAGTTGAGGTGAGATTGCTGAGCGCTTTCATTGCATATGTATCCAAGAGGATTGAAAGAGGAAAGACAAAATGGTAGGCTGTACTAGTGATTTGGAGTGTGCTGCACTAAAGGCCCACAGGGCTTGAGTCAGAGCCCCCCCACAAGCTTTAGTTTTGCCAGAATCATTGTGTCTGAGGTAATCTGTGACAACTTCTGCAGATTTGAGTAAAGCAGAATACACTGGCTGAGCAGGCACCTCACTGCCAGCATAGATGCCTCGGGTTGAGAAATCCGAGGCATCATCGGAGGCAAATCCTTGGACAGACCTTGTCCGAGGTTTTTGCCCGAGGTATTTTTTTGCCCTAAGAATTACCTCGGATCAAAACCTCGGGAAGCTTCTGTCCGAGCTCGGATTACAAAATCCGAGGTAAATATGTTGGCGGTGCCTCAACTTCAGAGTGCTCTGGAGCCGGAATATCTGTGACGTGTTTGCATTGTTCAATAGCTTCAAAAATCTCCTCCGGAGTCTAGGTCTCAAGGCCACTCACATGCTCATTGGTAGGATTTAAGAGTTCAGACAAAGACATCATGTTCTTTTGATGAACAATATTCAATTTCTGATTTATTCTCAGTTTTCAATCTGGCATATCCTTCTTCAATGTTTGAGACATAAAAAGTTGATAGGTCATTAGGAAGCATGTTTTTGGGTAGAATAGTTGAATCTGTGATGAATTGTGTTGAGCTTTGATGATTTGTGTGGAATGGATGGAGTCAAATGGCTATGAAAAGCTTTGAAGGTGTGTCTCAGGAGTCTCCTGTGCAGTATTAATTTTTTTTTCCTGGGGTGAAGTATGGGTTTTTTGTCTCTGGTTCTCAAAAAAAAGTATGGGTTAAGGGAAATAGTAGAGTCATGGGTTTTTGATCCATTTCCCCCGCCTTTAAAAAATATGGACCCAAAAACCCATGGGTTAAGCTAGAGCATGGGTTATTAGGTGTATGGGTTATTTCAGAGGCAACTGTAAGCGGCTTTATTTTTTAGGCTTGTATTTTAGCTATGTATTTGTAGCAGGTTCAGGTTTTTTCATTCTCAGCTCCGCTTCCACCCCGTAGGGGGTTTTGGTTGTTAGCAGTAATTCATTATTATCCTTGTGAGGATTTCGCCCAAACATTCTTTTACTCTTTGAGTAAATGTTTTAAGTTCCTTTCAGTAAGTTTACTTAGACACATTTCCTCTTGTTCTTTCTGTCACCACATTCTTCCAAGTCATGTGTGATATTTCATTAACTTTATGAGGAACACATGGATGACAGTTGTAAATATGAGAATGGTTCTACACCACGGGGCAGTTGCGGCGTGAATTCCACATCGCCATTTGGCTCTATAGTGGTTCACGTGGCGTTCACAAGAGGCGAGTCATGTTGCGACTGCAATCCATGAACCACATGGGTTTCACAGTACCGCCCACGTGGTAGCGCTGTGAACACCACAGCGCTTCACTGCGTCAACTGGATACAATCGGTGATGTGGCCATTTGCTTCATAGCATTCACCTTCCATTCTGGTGACCACGCCATTGCATTCCACCACGTGGGCGTACTCCAACAGGCGACCATGGAGCATTTATGTGGGCTTTGCGTGATTGCGACGTCGTTTGGCTTACAACAGGATCAAAAGAAATCTCCTGACCGATCCAAATTGGATCGGTCAGGAGCGTGGGCTACCCAGGATACAAACTTGAAAAACAAAAACAAATTACTCCCTCAGGAGATCATGACCGAATCAAACACACTCAAAGTGATATAACATCTTTTCAAGTTGAATAATTCCCTGCTACCATCCTACATTTAGTTCAATCAGTCTTGCCTTGGATATCATGTTCCTAAATCTCTTGTTCATATGCGTAAAAATGTAAGTAAACAAGACATAAAAGAGTCAATTGATTGGATATGTGATAGATGAAAGGTTGAAAATACATTCAACTGATACTGACTGGTGAGTACTTGAGATGACAGAGTTCAAGTGATTGAAAGTAGTCTAGAATATGAGATGCAAGATGATAAGTTTAACCAATCTTGAAATGAAAAAGATCCGTGAAAAATGTTCAAGAATGTCTTTAAAAGTAGTCAATGACCATCAAGAAGATCTATAAGTAGTAGAAGATAGTAGAGAAGGATGAGATGATAATGATATGTAGAAAAAAGTGTAAAGGGATGAATGAGATATTTTGGATTTCATCGAGAGGTCGAAGTTTGAACACTTTTTATACCAAAACATTGAGTGATATGATGAATGACATCTTAATGACATCATATCATGTTGTAAGCTCAGGACAACGGTCAACTGGGGTCAACTGCACAGCACACAGATTACCTAATATCTTCATCTCAACTCTCAATCACAATGTGATCTTGAGTGGAATATTTGTGCGGTTATGAGGCAGTGTGTGCTGTGGCTACAATGAGGTCCTCAGGTGATCACATGGTGGCCAGAGCTGATGTGGAAATCACACGGCGATTGATGTGGCAAACATGGATCTGTTATCTATTGTTTGCGACCTGATGGCAGCGTGGTCTTACTACTGCCAGTTGTGACATCGCATCGATGCGATTCAAACTTGCAAAGCTTTCAACATCGCTGATTTTCACCTGCGATCCAAGTCGATTGCTCGGTGAAATTCACGTAGCCCTTGATTGCACTCTGGCAGCCCTTTTTTGCTGAAAGGCTGCCCGGTGGTGTAGGAAGAACACTCAAGCTCTACAGCACTTTGGTAAGAAACAGGTCTTTAACGGTTAGATCAAGCTTTTATATCTTTGAGCAACTACAGTGGAGCTGAGCAGGCAAAAATATTCATCTCATCTTCAGAAGAGCTGTGTCTTTGAGGAAACACATATACAGCCGTTCCAACAATTAACGGCAGAAATCTTCATTGGTGTGTTGCATCCGAATTTAATCTAAAAGTCAAAAACTAGTTAAAGCCGGCTCAAAGTGACAGGTCTCCCAGGCCTCCTTGTTCATTTGCGTGCAAAACTGGGTTTAATCCAGTTTTGACATCTCTAGATTTAACCTCAAGAGCGACACACGATCAAAGAATTCTGCCGTTAATTGTTGGAACGGCTGTAATTGTGTTCAGGTCGACTCGTCGACATGGTCAAAGTCTTCCTGGGCGCATCTTTCACGGATCGTGCCTCTGGTGCTGTCTTATGAGACAAAGCTTATAGCGGCGCGATTGATAGAATGTTGCTGCCAGTCTAGGAGGGGTGTTTTCATTCAAAAAACATGTCAGCGAGCACTGCGTGGGGCTCATCCTGACTGGAGCAAAGATAGCGCGCGCGTTTGCAGACTAGTAATATCCTCATGTACAAGGGGGGAATTATTGGACTCTTGAGCAACGCGACGGTGACAAGCTAGCAATTTTGGCAAGTGTTTTGAAGCTGACTGAAGTGGATCACAATTCTCATGATTATTTGAATTTTTAAGCGCGCTCATCGGTGAGCAGGAAGGTACGACAAGGGCAACTGGTGAGGTGCAGGAGCAGGAGCATTCATTGACGGAAAACATTGGTATATGCATTCGCAGGCATGAGATATGGTGAGAGATGTACATCGTTTCTGTGAAGGGAACATCATTGTCAGAGCGTGCGAGGAGGGGACGAGGAGGTTGGGGGTCAACATACAATCAAAGAGACCAAAGCCCATGTCATCATCTGACTCCTCTTTCTCCTCTGCCTTCTTGGCCTCCTCTTTGGGTGCCTCAGCGGCGGCAGCACCACCGGCAGCTGGGGCAGCGGCACCGCCACCACCACCACCAGATGGAACTGAAGCAAGTTTGGCGGATCCTTCGGCAATCAAATCGGCGAGGGACTTGCCATTGAGCTCGGAGATGAGCTTGGACAATCGTTCCTCTTCGGCATCAATGCTGTTGGGCGCAAGCAAGGAATGAGTACCGGGTGGTAAATAGATGAGGGGAAATGACGCACCCGACGGTTCCGAGGAGCTCTTTGACATCGCTTGCAGAAGGGGAGGCGTTTCCACCTTGGGTGAGGAGTAAGTAGGCTCTGTGAAATTGAATATCTGATGAGCATTTGTTCCATGTGAACTAGAAAGCTGAGAGGAAGCCGACGCACGCTAAGTACTTCATGATGACGAGTGTGGACGGGACAGCGAATCGATTTAAGCCGGAGCAGACTGCGCTGATCAACGTCTGAGGTGTGGAAGGTCAGTTGTGGAAGGTGATGCACTGCAGGGCCCAGAATGTGCTCACCGATGTGTTCAAGGTTGGTCGTGTACCGGTGGCGAATCTATCACTAGGTCTGAAAATTGTATCGATACGAGTGTCCCGCAGCCGCAGCTACCTCAAGACCTATCCAATCGAGTTAGGTCAAGCCTTCCACACCGAAGACCGTTCACCGCATCAGAGCCTAGCAAAGCACGGTACGTACCCCTCAAGCAAGAAGTTATCCCAAAAGGTGGGTAACGATTCACTCCAATAAGATTCTGAACCTTGATATCTAACACCTCACGTCCCATCTCCGAGCAGGTTCAGCTGATTCGTCAAGATGTCTGCCGTCGATATCACCGACCCACAAGTGGTCCGTCCCCTCACCGGCACAGAACCCGCCTCCTAGTTGCTCATTAACTTTCGTCCTCCCACTCTAGGCTGCCGATCTCAAGAAGAAGCGATCTTTCCGCAAGTTTCAATACCGAGGTATCGAATTAGAAGCTCTCCTCGACCTCAGCAATGAACAATTGATGGAGCTCGTGCACGCCAGAGCACGTAGACGCTTCCAACGTGGTCTCAAGCGAAAACCTATGACCCTTATTAAGAAGCTCCGGAAGGCAAAGAAGGACGCTCCCCCCAATGAAAAACCTGCTGTTGTCAAGACTCATCTTCGTGACATGTTGATTGTTCCAGAAATGATCGGAAGTGTAATCGGAGTGAGTTGACAGCTGTTCTGCTTAACCCTTCATGTCCATTAGCCTGATTGTCTTGGATATAGATCTACAACGGTAAGACTTTCAACTCAGTGGAAATCAAGGGTGAAATGGTCGGTCACTACCTCGGTGAATTCTCGATCTCATACAAGCCCGGTAAGCCAGCACTACTCCCTCGAGTCGCATGTTTCGTCTCGCTGAGTTTATGCATTTCCCCACACAGTCAAGCACGGACGACCCGGTATTGGTGCCACCCACTCTTCCCGTTTCATTCCATTGAAGTAGACGCCTTTGTTATCGTAATGCAAATGTCTCCTTATGCTCCTCATGCCCTACCCGCTCACTTGGTCAAACTAGATGCGATTGAAATATCTCATGCAATCATCCGGACACTCCTGTCCATTTATGTAATATGTTCATGAGGACCGTGTTTGTCCGACCCAAATCACGTCTCGCATCAAATCGCCCATGCTTGGACGCTCCCTCATGATATTCATTGCTCGACCTAGCCCTTGCTCCTAGGTCTCAGGCAGGGAGAACAAGGGACTGTATCAAGTCTTTATGAATGTAAACTTCGGTGAAGGGTATGTAGTACAAGAAAAATGTTGGCATCGTGTGTCTCAATATGAGCTCTCGGGAGTCGCCTCAAGAGCTGTTTTACCCGGCATGCCTTCGAGTCTTGCTTTTGAGCTTGTCCCTTGTCACCTTCCCCTGTTTTGCAGTAGGGTTTTTGCTCCAATGGTGCACCCAGTTGAGAGCTGTGCGGCCAAGGACCGGCTTGCTGCACATGCTGCCGAGGCCATTGTTTGGTTCATTGAAATGACCTTCACTATTGGTTTATCATTTCAATTTATTCATCCTATCAACATATCTTGTCATCTAGTTATGTTTTCTTTAATAACATCTCATTGTAGATTATTGTGTGCGGGCTAACTTAACCCAAGTCATAAATTCTTACCGGGCTCTTAACCTTTGCAAGCTCGGTGCCCTGAAGAGGGACTTGCGACTTATCAGCTCCTTTTGATGCTCAAGCAGGGGCCCAAAAGGCTGGTTTGGTCAACTTAAGATACAGCCACATGGCTTTTGTAGTTTGTTTGCTACACAGTTTCTAGAGCATAATGTTCATATCAATGACATGAACAACTTTGCATTTTGAACATAGTTCAATCATCATGTCTCAGTCCTTCTGGTAGAGAAAAACAGTTGTGTTCATTTGGTCAGATGTAAATTTGGTTTCAAAAATACAGTTGTTGCCTGCAACCAAATTTCATCTTTGAAAAAATTTGTGCTGTTTTCCAGAAATCTCTGAGCAAGATATGAGGAATCTGAATAGAATGATCTGATGAGCATGGACAGATGTACCCCCAGTTCAAATGGGTGAGGAATGATTGGAAGGAACTAGGAGTTTTTGAGGTTTTAAAAAACATCCCAGGCAAACTTAAATTCGGAACCCTCTGCTGGCCCACCAAGACTGGTGGATACACCCAAGCTTGTGAGGAAAAAGTGTCCAGCTAGAGGGATTTAGTCAAGTTGGATGTGCAAGAGTTTACTTCATTTGTAAACCATCAGCTATATAGCCTATATGTAGCAAGTATGTAGTACATATACATATATAATTGCTTTGATACCCTAATTGTGTATGTGGGGGTGCCAGTAGGCTGGGGGTCTCTAAACTGGGTATGCTCCCTGCTACCTACTCTCAGAATGTAGTGGCTGGAGTCTTCAGAGAGTCTATCTTGGTATGGCCTGAGAGGTTTGCAACCTGCACAGTTTCTATTTATGCATCTTAAGTTCTCCCCCAACTGAGTAGCTGTCCTATGTCAGAATCTTCACATGCTGATCTCACTTCAATGGAAGTCTGTTAGTCTTTTTTTGTCCTTTCTTTCAATTCTACATCAACACCTACAACTATCAAAATGTAGTATTTTCTGAACAGAAAAGAAAAGAATTGATGTAGAAAAATTCTGAAAAACCAAGAAGAGAGCAAAAAATTCAAAAGTATGCATCTTGTTCCTAGATCATGAGGCTCCATTATGAGTATTTGTTTGTATTTTACAAGCAGATAATGGTCAATGTACTAAGAATAAAGGTTAAAAATTATTAAAGAACTACCTGTAAGAGTACAAGCAGACACAGAAAGTATAAGTCACCCTTGGGGCCAAAACATTGCTATTGCATTTGTCATACACCAAAATTTAAGCCAGTTTGGACCCAAGGGTAACATATCTTTTATATGTCAGAAAGGGCATAAGCCGCCTCAAGGGCATGTCACCTTTCTTACAATAAACTACATGTAATTTCCCCATGACATGTAGTAATAATGAAAACAAACATAGCAATGGAAGGAAGGACAGCAAGTCATGCCTATGGACCAGTGGAAGGAATATCCAACTATGAGATGGAGGCTATGGCCCTGATGATAGCCCTAGTCCAGTTCAAACAAATAACTGACATTGATCCTGAAAAATTCACTTTGTTAGCCATCTTCAGCGACAGTCAAGCAGCTCTCGACTTACTAGCCAGACCGATCCAGCCAAGAACCCTACAATACGCATCGAGGTTTCTGTTGAAATCTTACAACTTGATCCCAGATCGATATCAACTACGACTATATTGGACGCCAGGACATGAAGGCATTGAGCTGAATGAAATGGCGGATCAGGCGGCAAAGGAGGCGGCGGAAAGCGAAATGGAGGCACTGATGCTCCCAATAAGCTTGGGAGGACTATTACGCCATACGAGGACATTATTTACCAAAAGGGAAGCTGTACCTATTAAACCATACAAAACACAAGGGAGATGGATAGCTGATGCACTTAATAAATTAGAAAAGGGAGAGGCAGCGGCGATTTTTCAACTCAGATGCGGTCACTGTCCACTTCGAAAATTCTTACACAGAATTGGAGCAGAAGAACACAACAAATGCAGCACCTGTTTTGCAACAGAAACACCGGCGCACTTTTTGATATACTGTAGAAAATTCACTAAAGAAAGACAAGCATTCAGAAAAAGACTGAAAGACGAAAAAATCAAGATTAACACGAATTCAGCTGCAACACTCTTGGACACCCCCAAAATTTACCCATACTTAGCGCAATACATTCAAGCGACAGGGAGATTTCTCCACCTCAAAACATATTTAGATGACTAAACGCAAATTGTTGTTATTTTCAATTACTATTGCTTCCTTTTTTCTATTTCAGTTTCTCTTTTTTCTCTCTCCTGCCCATGTTTTTCAAACTATGCCTTTTTTTTCCTTTACTCAATCACATTGTGTCTAGTGTGAAGGCTCATTAGTCCATCACACAAGAAAATTTAGAAGAAGTTGTAGGATCGGTAGATTTACTTTAAACACACACAGTTAGTCAGTGCGATATGTGAAATCAAAAGCACTTAAAAAAAAAAAAAAAAAATGTAATACTTGATTGAACAAATGCATGTAAACATCAATTACAACTGTTTACAAAAGTGGTGTCATGTGTCCAGTTTTTTTGTGTGTTTGTTTGCAAGCCATGCATAGATACAGCCAATACAGGGCTGTACTGATGCGCCAACCCAAGCTGTGACCACCTTTGGTTAGTTTACATAAAGGCTAGACCAATAAAACTTAGCAATGGGCTCCCTGGATTTTGACCCCGCCACATTGACCTGTTTTTGTTCCACCAACCACATCATACCACACAAGCTCAGCATATCAACACATTCTCCCATCCACCCTACTAATCCGCCTTTTGCTCCAACACATCCTACCACACAAGCCAAGCAAGGTGAGTGTGGTCCAATTGCTGCAAAGGTTAGCAAAGCTCACCAGTTCTCAGCTTCAAACCACATCACTGACATTGCCTTATTTGAACAATGTACTTCCAGAATGGCTAGAACAGGACCCAGGAATGTGCCTATAGAGGTATCTGATGTGAATTCCGACCTGTTGTTGACGGGGTTTTTGTGCACTAAATGTCATATTGACAAGACCTACAGTAGTGCAAAATGTGCCTGAGATCAAAGGCTTTTGTTTAATCTAGCTTTCAACTTTATAGCACCTATATTTCCTGAGATATTTGGATGCAGCGGTCAAAAACAGCCTTAAAATCAAAGGTTGGAATCAGGCCTGGGAGGCACGGAAAAGTTTTGCGCCCAACTGAGCAAAGTTGAGAGCCTTGGGATAGGCTTGCTTGATAGCCCTACTCCATGTGCATCTTTTGAAGTGCTCTGGAACCTGAGGCAAGGAGGGGTGTGTTGTGTAGAGCCCAAAAACTGAAAAACAGGTTTTGTCAGATACCTCTATAGGTGCAAGAACCCCCAGAGTTAGATCCGCAAAGTACAAAGCAAGCATCAAGGTATTGACCATCCAATACCTTACGGAAGGGAAAATGATTTCTCAGGTTCAAGACCTAATTAAATTGCCTGGGAGCTCACAAATCATCTCACAATGGCATGCCCTGTATTGAAGGACGGCCTTGGTTGTTCATAACCCTGAGGACTATGAGACACTGGGGAGACGCTTGATCCTGTTGGACAAGGACCGGGACTTCATGCTCAAACTCCTTGACGGCAATCCTGGCCTTTACCTTGACAAATATCAATACTCCAGGTATTGTCTAGTGATATTATAACATTAGTATATTGGTGTATTGTAAAGGTGCAAAACTACTTACTCTCTTTCCAAAATATGGGAAAGAGAGCAAGAGGCGAGCAGAGAACAAAACATATATCAAAAACAAACAGACAAAAAACAATTGGGATTAGCCGCGTTCAAACCTGACCTGGTTTCAAAAAACCCAGTTGACCCGGTGGACTTTTTGGCTGGAAGCTGTCAAGAACTGTCAATGGATACACAAAGTTACCACCAGAAAAGCAACTGGGTGACTGGGTTTTTGTGTCAACCCAGTTAGGTTTGAACACAGCTATTCATGTACATCAAAGTCAATTGGGGGTGAAACAAATTTATCAATCATAGACGAGATTTCTAAAAGAGAAACATAGCCAAAACTGCCTTTCCAGAAAACTGCATTAAAACAATTCAACTACCAATCCAAAAGTGCTGTCTTGATTGTATTTTGACAATATGTAATAAGCTGAAAACCTCCATTTTTTACAAAATTCACACCTTTTCCCTTATTTCCAAAGCTATTGCTAACACTCTCTTGCTCCTGTAATGTTACATCATCATCTATAACCTTAAAACTCCTGGAAAATCCTCTTGGTGACCCAAAATATTACTAATACGACCATTATATATGTAAACTACCTGTAAAACCCTTCTTTACCAACTTCAAAGATGTACTTTTTTCCTAATGACTTCTATTACTCCTTATCAGCCATCAAGATTAGAATTGTTACTGTATAATATAGTGCTGTTCTTTCATATTCTAACCTCACAAAACCCATAAACCTAATATTGATATCCTAAAAACCATTTCTCAGCCTGTATACCTATATTTTTGAATTTTTCTAATGTTTTTCTTTCTTTTATTTTCACAATCCTTTTGCTAATAATTCATATTGATCTTAATAAGTTGTTTGAAATAAATGACCTCATCATAATGCAATGTGCAATTCATAAGCCTTAAAGAGCTTCCATTATCAGATTCCATCAATTTCAAGTTTTTCTTTACACTGAACTTTTCTAACAACTGTTACTTGGTAAACTACTTATGATTTATTTTCTTTGATTGATTGCATAAATTGATCACCACACCGTGCTTTTCTCCACCGATAATTCACCCTATCTCTTTTCACCATTTTCACCGTTAGTTCCTGTCAAGATACAAGGTATCTATGTTATCTTATTCTAGGTGGTCAAAGATCATTTTCCTAATCTGGTTATTGGAAGTGGAGCATGTGAAGCATGTTTGTATTCAGGTTGTTAGAATGCTGTATTGTACAGTGGCAATATTGAAGGAAAATGGACTAAATGGATCTAGTTGGTAAATGTGAAGCAAGGGGTGTTGGAGAATTTTCTTTTGGGATATCTGCTCACTCTTGTAATTTTCCTTTTTCCCCTTTTTCTGATTCTATTTGTGTAGAAAAGAATCGGTGAGTTTTTCCTCAACCCATTCTCAAGCTTTTTCAAATCTTCACTACTAACAAATTCAAACACTCTCATACTTAGATTATATTCATTTTTGTTTTGTCTTTTGAAACATCCTCTTAAACATGCTCCTCACTTTCTTTCGAGCTTGCAGGTAGTGAAGTTTTTCTCTTATCAAATCTCTCTTAATTTTTCTCTGATTTTAGTTGTGGTTATTGGTTTGTTGTTCATTGTGTAATGTGTGTAGGTTAGTCAACAGTTCTTGACTAAGACCTAGCAGACAGAGCTGTAGTCTAACAAGGATCCTATGCCCTCAGTGATTCCGTCCCAGTACTATACATTCTTTCTTTGTAGTGTCTTTAGAAGATTTTCTGTCAAGAACTTTATAGTTCCATCTCTTTGTTTAACACTTTGATTTTCTTCCCTTTAGATTTGTGGGGTCTTCTTTTTGACTTGTCTTCATTGTTTCCTGAATTTGATGATAATCCAGGATTAGATGATGTCCTTGAACTCCTGTACTAGGTAAGTCTAGGTTTTTTGATTTATCTGCATATTCTTGTGCTGACATTGTTGGGTGTGAAACGGAGGTTTGCAATGAAGTGTTTTTTGGTGTTTATAACTTTTTTGACAATTGTATATTATGATGTCTACATCTAGAATGTGTCTTGACATAAAAAATTGAAACAAGATGTTGAAATCACTGCTTACCTCTTAAATCATCAGAAGGGTGGTGAAGATGGAATGAACAAATTGCTCCTCTAAGGAAAAGCCTTCAAATTGCCCCTGTGCATACTCCATGTTATAGTGGTACAACACTTACTTCTGCCTCAGTACCTTTTTCTTGGTACCCAGGATTAATTAGTTCCATTCATCACATATTTTCATGGAATTAAACAGATACTGTCATTACTTTAGGGACCTGTTACATTGATTGTGATGCAAAAGCTAACAGGCATCCCAGCTTAAGTAAGGCAGAGCAAAGAACTTTGCTTGGGGGCTCATAAGTATCCCCTCATGAGAGTTTGGGCGGTGTAAAGTGTACCATTCCGACACGCTTGAGAAGATAAAAGGTGACCAGAATTCCAAAGAGTGGTTGGAGGCAAGTTGAAGATCAGTACAACATAGGAGATTTATGATGGCCCAAAGTTGCTGTCAAATTTGTCGAGTTTTGTTGGCAAGTGAACTTGCAAAACTCACTGTACCATGAGGAAGAAACCTTGCTTGAAGTTGTGGACACCTGCTGAAAGAACCTATACTGTTTCTGCTTCTGTTTCCTCAAGATAATTCTCATGCCGTTACCAGACCTTACTGACATAGCTGTATGCGGAGGCATCTCAGCATACTGACCTTCATCATCAACATCAACACGATTTTGCGTCGTTTATCCAATTCTGTTGCGTTGCCTACTTAATTCAGATGCTCATTTTACTCTGCAGAGATGATAGGCATACCGAAATCTGGCGTCCGAGTAGCATTATCATATGATGAGCTCTTCTGATTTGATCGTCGGTTGTCTTGAATGCCAATTGCGTATCACGTTTTGGATCATCTCGAGTAAGTAGGGCAACATGAAGCCACAATCCCGCAATCAAGGACAAAAAGTCAACGACCCGACACTGACTCAAAGAATACTTAGTCGTTACTGCCTTTCTCACCAGCCCATTCGACGAAATCCTTTCTCTTCAAGTTCGATTCATTCATAACAATTCGATATCTCATCAATTGACCATCTACTCAACTTTATCAGTCCTCAATCAGCAAGTTAGTACTTGAAAATGAAAATGAAAAATGAAAAATTGTTGCTCTCCGTTGTCATTCATGTCCTGCTTGGCGTGAATCTGAGTTATGCTTTCTCCATTCGTAAATTTTTGCACAAAGCAGCAAAGGCGATAACTCAGGCGCCCTCCAATATAGTCAAGAAAATAGAGCACTCCGACAACGCGGTGATAGAAGCACATGTACGTTTGGTAGAATCACTCACGCCTGAGGGATTCATACTTCGAGCTATCGGGATTTTCCCATCAGACGTGATACCAATACCTCCACCGGCCATGAAGGCGATAAAGTTGGTCAATGGACTTAAAGATTTGCACAAAGAAGACTTCGATGCTCTTCAACAATGTAAAACTCAAGCAATTAGTGACATAGCCGTAATCAGGAAAGCCGAAACATCCGTAACCAGAAACCAGTTTCCAAAGATGCTGAAACAGGCGTAAGCATCTACATGTATCTAGTAAGATACCATGCGACTGACTGTGATCTCTTCATGTAGAGCCGCAGCGCTGAAATCGCCAATGGGCCAGTTGATCGATAGATTGTTTGGTATGTATATATACTTGAGCGAACTGACGGCCGGAATGTGGGTACTCCTTGACTTTGAAGCTGTGTCCATACTTTCAGGACTCGACTTTACGCCATGCATTGCTGACCTTGAACGTTTACCTTGATATATTGCATTTGTCACATTCACAGAGACGAGATAGTTATGTACGCATGTGGTGGTGCCAGCGGCGCGAAAGACGATCGTAAACGTCTTCCGGGTAGCGTTCTGAACATCTTTGTACGTCCCTCATCTGGGCTGAGAACTTTGCTTTGCTATAAAATGACGTCCCCATATTTCCATCATCATAGCACCTACTCGGCAAGATTGGTAATGCTCATTGAATTCGATAAACAATTTCTGCTGTCCTTGATGTGTTCTGATCGTGGTAGCGGAATCACTGAATATATTCCGAGTAATGTAAAATTCTGATCATGAGGCATTGACGAATTTGTACATACATTATAAGCTGAAACATAGAATAATTTTTACGATGAGCTTTTGGTATTGAAGTATTAACCAGAATATCAAGTGAAGGTTTCTGGGCGAAAGACACAAAGGCAGGATGAACATCTGATCTTATCATGTGCTTGCAGCGTGACTATAGCCACGATGTAGAGTTGAAGAGACGACGTATGTAGTGAGAGCTGTGATCGATATAATTCACAGGGGTCATCGAAGCTCATCCCCTATATATCCCGTATCAAATCTTTACATCGCATCAGAGCAAATCCCCCCTCTTTTGGGGTCATTGGAACAGCAGTTGTAGGTCCCATAACTTTGCGTACGAAGCATTTCCCTCATGATCGTCGCTTACACTTTTATAGCACACCGAGTATGATATCGTATCCAACTTGACCAAGTCCCCTGTACTACGATAATTTTGAAAGTCGGACATGGGGCCAATAATTCCAACACAGCCGGGCGACCAAGTTCGATTGGATGTTCACCCTGGTCTCTTGTATTTGATGCGGAGCGCGTTGCCGAGCCAACTTCTTCAACTTTAGCAACACGGGAAAGAAAGGCCCGAGATTTTATCAATGTGGTGAGATTTTGATCAGTGTTACCACATAAATGAGTGCCCTTTCAATCACTACCATCATGGTTTTTCCTGCTGCGACTTGATGGCAAGAAAGTGGCATATGTTGTGTCTGAACGAACCGAAAACTATGCAGGAAGTGTTTTCTGATGAGGAGAGATGTCGATGTCTCGGTCAAGAGGAGATTAACAACCATTCAGTTTTCTGCATGGTGATGGGACATGATTTGTAACCGAAGAAAGGGTGCTCGTGCGATGCGGCTGGCAAAAAGGCTCCCATCGTGTTGCCTCAGTCGTCAAGTACTGCAGAGCCTTCACTTGGGAACTTGCTAGCAAAGATAAAAATATCAACCTGGCTCAGTGACAGCTACTCCGCTGAACCCTTCTGATTTGTATCCTTGCATGCATAGTGTCGTTTTTCTTTGTCATAATCATTCTACGTTTCCAGTTCATATCTCTTTCAATTCTGAAAACATCATCCAGACTTCCGTCAAGCTAGTCACTCTTACTTGATGATTCAGGATTTTTTGTTTTCGTCGTAGAATTCACATCCCGGACTTGCGAGTGCATGCGCATCCACGGCTTACAAGGCCATCTCATATTGGCCGGGGTCCTACTTTTTGAATTTACCTATGGTGGTCTTTCTTTTAAAAAACTTGCCCACCTTGGTGAAGCTATCGTGAACGGAGTCGTAGGTGCAGAGAGCCAGGCTTTCGAAGAAGTCCAAAGTCTCATCAAAAGTCTGTCGACCTCAGGAATGATTCTCGACGGGATTGGTCTCTTTGGAAATTCGATGCCAATATCAAAAGAAGCATTGGAAGTGATAAATAAATATGACAAGTTTCAACCTTTAAAGAGGGAAGATCTGGTGAAACTTGCCAAATGCAAAGCCAAAGCTTCGAGTGACCTCCAAAATGTCAACAAGCTCAAAGCAGAGATCGGGACTTACATGACGCAGGCAGTGAAAATTTTGTAAGGAGTTTCATTTCCTACAGTTCAATCAATGATATATAGGAGTCAATCTAAGCCCTACCAAATCTACCAGACAAAAAACCAAGCTTGATCCTCAGGCCAAAAGAATCATCGAGCAGATGTCGGCGATGGGTTTATACCTTGCAAACATGTATAGTGCACTGTAAGCAATTCTTCTCTCTGAGACTGAGTCAGTTCGAAAGCTCACTTTTGGTTGTGTTTTTTGGTCATCAAGGAACGCGCTCATAATGCATGCATGCGGAGCGGCCGGTGGAGATCAAACCGATTTCAAGGCTCTTCCAAAAGCTGCCAAAAAGCTATATGTAAGTCTTTCTCCAAAGCCAGATCCCGAGTAGATTACTAACCTGAGCAAAAAACAGGACACTATGAAGCAGGGGACCCATCTATGGAATTGAAAAGACTTCTGAGGTCGCGGCTGCTGCGTCGCGCTCCCCGTGACGGCCACGGAAACCACAAACATTTGCATTCATTCAAACTACCACATATACCTCGATGCCCTGCACCCCTTTGATAAAGGTGATCATTATTACACTACAAAATGTCAATGCCTTCTCTAATGCTTCAGATAAATTTTCCGCCGGCTGGACCGTAATAGCTCACATATATAGCTTGGGAGTATTCAATTTGAGGGTGGGCAATCAGTCTTTTATGAATTTATTGCATGGTAATTACTCAAGACTTGCAGGAAATATGAGGGTGCAGTCTTTTGGAGATCATGAATACCCCAACAGCCAGAAAGTTTCAGTCATATTTGGTTACTATAGTGTGTGGAGAAAAGTAAATAATCAAAAATATTATTGGTAGTTCTAAAGGGTAAATGTGGCCAGTGTGTTATGATGTTGACAAATCTGATTGTAATGTACTGTTAATGAATTTTCTTAGATTTTTCTAATGAATAGCAAGCAACTGATGTGATCAAAGAAAAATGAAAGATTTGCTTTTGTTTGAATACACAGCAAAGAGAGGAATAGCATTGAAAAGGTATCTGGCAGTCTCCTTTCAATGACTCCATCTTGTGCAATTCCCAAAGGCTTATGTCTATACACCATGTCCTGCTAGTGCTTGCTTGTCAAAAAGTGTGCCCAATTCTCTTTTCTGCCACAAAGGGAGTCAATGTGCTCTAGATGACAAGCTACACCACACTGGTGTATAGAGGACACAGGTTCCCAGATAGCGCCTTCCAAAGATGCCAAGACAACAATTTGCTGTGTGTTTGACTTTTGGAATCATCAAGTATTTGCCCTGGGATCTAGTAGCACCAGAGGGATTAATGCAGACTATCCTCACCATGGATGTTGCAGCATACCTGTCTTCCGGGAATTGTTTGTACTTACACCACAGCATGTAATGGCTGTAGTTGATTATGGATTGGTTTCATCAGAAACAAGACAAAAAGAAATTGTACTATACACCTCCAAATCCTGAAGAATGCCTCATCTGTTTTTCAAGGTAATACCACTTTGTCCTTTATTCTCTTTTATCAATGCATCAAAGTATACTCAAAACATGCAAGAACAGCCATTTAGAATGTTAGATTTTGGGGACCTGGATTTGGAAGGCATTCTTAAGGTTTTTAAGAAAATATTGTTCGAAATGACACTAAAAAAAGCAGTCTTCTTGGCGTCCAGAACACAATTTAGGTACAAATTTGTGGATTTTGGGGGAATTTTTGGTTGGTATGCTTCTTGTGTGCAGGGAAATCTTCAGTGGAAACTTTTTTTCACCTCAATATTTGTCAATGAACACACATTACAGAGATCAAATGAGTTTGAATCATGATCCAGAGCAACTAAAGACCCAAGCTTTTCCTTGGGTCAGAATTGCATAGATAATGTGGGTTTATCACATGAAAATGATTGCTGCAGTCATTGAAAAACTGATCAATAATGCAGAATTAATGCAGAAAAATTCAGAATCAATTCATTTTATTGTTTCAGTGTGAACAGGTATGAATGTTGAAGTCTTTTTTCAAACTTGACTAAGTCTTCTTGCTGGAACATACTAGCAAGTACTGGCTCCAGTGAGAGACTTATATGCACAGTGTTTTTGTGGGTGTGAGATTTTCCATGGAATTTTGCCAAGATACATTGCCAACCTGCTGTACATTCTTGAGGTCAAACTAGGGAAACAACAGCTATCCTTTGTCAAGCTTAACTGGATGATGTTATCAAAACCTCGGCTTTGTCATGTCTAACCATGTCACAATCCAAAGTGATTTTTACTTGCTGAGAATGGTACCAGCACTTACTTGCATGGACCCAACTCCTGACCTGCAGCACATTTAACTGTGCGCAAACAGTAGATGCACTGGTCACCAGAACAGATTCACCAAAGTCTAAGAGACCACTGCACTGTTTTTTACCGCAAGGGCCCAGCCGTATTTCAGCCACTGCGCAAAATTACACCACAGCACATCCCAGTTTCCTGCTGGGCCCAACTTTTTTCTTATGCCAAATGATCATCCCTGTGCTGTGCTTCACTGCAATTTCATGTATGCAGTGCAGGGGTATTTCCATTCTTGACCCACTGTGCTACTCCACAGCATAGCATGAACAAAAAAGTAACATAAAGTTCAAAAATAAGAGTGATGTCTACACTGAACAGGCCTAAAGGGCTTGATCAGGTAGGAGAGTAGGCTGGGGGGTTTAGAGGAAACAGAAAAGCATAATAGATAACTTGAATACAAAAATCAAAACAATCAAACAGTTTGTTAGAAAGTGAGATCAATTGAGAGAGGGTTTGACTTAAGTAGCGCAAACAAAAAGCACAATCAGAAGCTCTTTCTTCTAGCAAGACAGATTCAACAACAGCTTTGAAAAAGAAATGCACAGCATTAGCCTCTCCAAGTGTTGAATCACCTCAAGAAGAGATCACAAATGAGTTCAGTAAAAATGATGACAAGAAATAAAAAGGAGGCCAATTTGCAATCAACTAGTAAAAACCCAACTCCTTCAAGAAAATACCGTCTTTGGCATTACCAAGTCCCCACATGGATGAAGAAATTGTTTTACAGCAACTCATTTCAGAGATACTATCTCCAACATCATCTGCAAGCACAACTTGTTCAGGATCACATCTAGGCACTTCCTCTGGTACAACCTGTCAAAAAAAACAAGCCAAGAAGTCAAAGGGGAATGAGTACCCAAAGGAACTTGATCCTGAGGAATGTGAGGCCTTTGCCTTGCTCACATCTATCCTGGTGAGCTCAGCTTGGCTGGTGGTAAGCAAAACACGAATTTTTATTTGATGTATATCAGACCAAGCCTGGACCTGGCTGTATTGGAGCGTCCACTCCGCTATATACTTGTTGGCATCTGGATGGAGGAGCAGAGCCAGCGCCACATATAGAGGTGAATATAGCGGTGTCAATACAGCTCCAATACCACTCCAACATTGCTAAAATTTATGGAGTGGTTCTGGTATTGGTCCAATTCTATCTTCAACTGATGGTCCAGCTGTGCCAACACTTCCTCACAAGGTGATGTCTATTCTAACACTACCATATCCCCCACTACCATCCCAGTTCCATCAGTTCATTTGAAAGAAGACAAATGGACATTGATCATGAGTTGATTTATGGACCACATGTACCATCATCACCACCATTCCAACCACCAAATGAACCAGTCACACTCAATCACAATACTACCCTTTTCACTACATAGACCAACAGCACTGGCTCCAGAAGTTGTACAGCATCCATAAATGTCAATACATATTGCTCCAGACAAACATTCTTGGGATTGGCAACCTGCTGCAGTTCCTGCACCTCAAGATATCTCAATTGATGCCAATCCAGAAATTATCTTACCACCAGACTCCAAGTGTCATTGATTTTGTTCCACACTGTCATTGTGCTTGTGCTTCTTTTTGTATTCTTGCTTTGGATATTTGGATATTCTCTGAATTTATCCATTTCAATTTCAATGTCAGGGTTTTTCTTCCTGATGGTATATGTAATACAACTCAAGCTTAAACATCTAATATCAATTCAATCCAAAGAAATATCTCCAAGCTCTGGAATCAGATCACAAATTTGACTGGAGGAAAGCTATTGAAGATGAATTAGAAAACAGGGATTGGGGGAAAGTGTGGTATATTGTGGAGTGACCACATGGCAAGCAGGCAATTGGAATGTGCTGGGTATTTTCACAAGATAATGGGTGGTGATGGATAGTTCATTAAATTCAAAGCTTGTTTATGTGCTTAAAGATTTTCTCAAAAATATGGAGAAGATTACAATAAGACTTTTGCACCAACTGGTAACTTGACTACTTTACAAATTGTAAACACCATGGCAGCTATTGATGATTTGGATGTCTGTCAAACGGATGCTGTGGCTGCATTTTTTAATGGTTCACCGGAAGGAACAATTTATATGGAGATTCCAAAAGGTTTACAAGCTCATTATAAGCAAGCACCAACAGTATGGTATATTGATTACTTGAGAGAATTTTTCAAATTCATTTTACTTATTCCTTCAACTTCAAATCCAATTCTATTGATTTTGGAAGATTCTGCTGGGAAATGCATTGTTCATGTTCATGTGGATGATATGATGGTGGCTAGTGACAATTTTGCATGTTCTTGTAGATTGATCACTAAATTTCAGTGGATGAAGATGTATATTATAAATACATTTTAGGAATGAAGGTAACAAGGAATTGACATGATAGAACTATTACTTTGACTTGATCACAATACATTCATGATTCATTGGAAGAATACAACATGTCCAATTGTAATTCAGTTTAATGTCCCACAATTCCTAGTAGTTAATTAGTGTCTGGTACGGAGGATGAGCTGGGTTTAGTTGAAGTGTCATATGAAGATCATCAACATGAGGTTGAAAAATTGGTGTATTTGAACAATGCAACACAACCTGACATTTCTTTTGTAATTTCTCAATTATCTCCACTCTTAAATAATCCATCAATTTCTCATTGGGCAGGCTCTGGAGAGGGTTTTACAAGATTTAAAAGGCACAAAATCAGCTGGTATGGTTTTATGTGGTGAAGATTTAGAACTCAAGGGTAATGCAGATTATGATTTTGCTTCATGTGCTTATACATGAAGGTCAACAGGTGGTCCTTTATGGGATACAAACTAAAAACCCAGAAAAAGTCTGAGTTTCCTAACTTGGCCTTTTTGGCTGTGTTTGGGAAAACTGGGATCTGGGTGAATGATCTCAGTTTTGCTCAAGTTTGAATTCCCGAGTAATTCTTCACTGGGGCTCTTGAGTTTTTTCCAATTTTCCCACATTCTGATATGAAGTTGGGAAACTCAGAAACCGGAAAAAAACCTGGGCTTCTAGTTTATCCCATAATTGCACAATGTTAGGCACAGTGAATTGGTAAAGTAACAAGCAAGAAAATGTTGCCACTTCAACAACTGAAGCCAAATACAGGTCAGATTACAAAGGTGGTCAAGATATTGGATGGTTTTCTCACTTATTGAAAGATATATCTATCAAACAAAAAGGTTCCCCAGTGCTACATTTAGACCATTTAGGTGCCATTTCATTGGCTCAAAATAGATCATTTAAGTTAAGAACTGAACACATTGATGTAAAGTTTCATTGGTTAAGATAGCTAGTTGCAGGCAAGGAATTGAAAGTAGATTATGTTTTGACAGAAGTCATGGTAGCTGATATTTTTACAAAAGCTTTAACACAAATGAAACACGAAAAGATTTGCTCTTTCTTAGGATTGCATGATGTTGCAAAGACAGGGGGAGATTGAGATGATAATCATTGAATTACCAATATTTCTAGTGGGTTTCTCTTTTACACATCATACACTTGTGATTTGAAGTGGTTATGACATAACTCTTAGATGTTGCTATTTAAAAGATCCAATATGCTGTTTACCATTGTTCTCATTTCTTTATCAACTCAAAGAGTTTCACAATCTTCTTTACCATTGGATTGTTCCTATCCTTTTCAATCAGTGTGCAACTTAGCATACGCTGACAACTTGATACATACTCACAGGTTATAACATTTTAAGCAGAGCCTGGCAATGTACTCGGGACGACCCGGATGCCGGTCGGGTCATCGCCCCAAGGCATCAATTTCATCTCCGATGATTTCTCTCCGGATTCGAGGATTTATGATCAAGCAATGGCAGACGCTCCTGAGACCACCCACACCACCGTCGACCTTCAGCTAGTTCGCGATGGATCTCAAGTTGAAGTTCTACCATCCGATGATAAAACGGAACCATCAAAAGTAGAAGAGAACTCAGAAAAGAAAAAGAGAAATAAAATGCGTGGAAGGATGAACGATAGTCCTGATACACAACTTTCGAAAACATTGTCATATTTATTAAGACACGGGGCAGCAAAGGAAGGATTAAAGATGAGATCGGATGGGTTTGTAAAAATAAATGATTTAGTGAGAGATTCATATAAAAAATCCTAAATAGAGACGCGTCGTAGATTGAAGACTACGAATGACATGAAAGAAGAAAGATGGAATGTTTGATTCGAATGTCTATCTCTTGTTCCCTTCACAGTTAGCTCGCCCAAAGTTGAAAGGTGTAGAATTAGGTGATATTGAACGCATTGTTGGAAAAGATTCAAAACAAAGATATGCCATGATTCGTGAACCACCGCCGGATGGGTCCTCCTCATCCGAAGACATTGTTTACATTCGAGCTAATCAAGGTCATTCAATTCAGGTGAATCCACTTCCTTCTCTTCTTATTTCTTTTGCCATCCCATTTCAATCGAACTTGTTCTATTCGGATTCTGATCATTATGTTTGCATTCGTAGGTTCCCGAACTCGACCTGGTCCCCATCATTGATCCTGAAGACATACCAACGGTCGTTCATGGTACTTACATGAAGTTTTGGGATACGATTCGTAAGCCTCGTATCCATGTTCTTTTGCGATATTCAAAGTTACATCCAGGACATACTACACCATCTCCATCCGAGTAGACTAACATGGAGTGACCTTCGGCCTTCCAGTTCTCGAGGGACTTAAACCGATGAAGCGGACTCACATTCATTTCGCATCGGGCTTGATTGATCAACCGGGAGTGATCAGTGGTCAGTGCATATCCTTTTATGAAGTTTTTGGTCACTGCTTCATTTCCCAAGACCATGGAGCAAACCGCGTCTGTTTATCGCTTTGAAAATGCCAGGCTAAATGGTCTGTTTGGTTCTCTTAGGTATGCGCGCGTCTCGTGAAATAGATATCTACCTAGATGTCACCAAGTGCATTTCAGGTGAGAAACCAACTTTTACCCAGATTGTCTCCATTCCAAAAAGAGATCGCTGAGTGAAATGCTTCTTCTCGGCCTTCCTCCTAGCTGGCATTCTTTTCCATCGATCTAAAAACGGAGTTATATTATCTCAAGGTTTACCAGATTCTAATTCCATCCCTAGCACCTATTTTCAAAAAGTGATACATACATCTGGAAAAGTTCTTTACCCCACTGAATCTTCGACGTGATCCGTCATGATGACCCAAATGATCGCAACTAGAGTATCGATGGCGAGTCATGGTCAGCATCAGCGTGATTTGTAGGATACTTGCAAGATGTGGCCAATGTGAATTGAAGATGAACTTGTCTCCGCACCTTGAACCCTCTCCAAGGCAGAAAGTAGTGTTGAGGTCTGAGTATGTAGTGCCCCATACCATCAAGTGTCTCTTGGATATATCACAATCACTCGTGTGTATCTCACAAGTTGGAAATATATACAAACAATGAGAGAAGGATCCTTTAAATCTAAATAAGTGAACGGGACATAAAGAAGATAATCACACGCCGATCAACTAAGATTACACTCCCATTGGCCAAATGTATCAACGGACCAAATTCCAGGACAAGAAAGATTGATGATAGACAAAAAACAATAAACATAAGCATGACTGTTATGAGAGACGTGTGAATGATGAGGACAAGATCCATTTCCTCATTGAATGCGATGAAAGAAATTGGTTATAGAATCACATATTACAATCATCTCATTGATCAAAAATCTCCAATATCAATATCAATGTGAACCCGACTTGCAATCATTTCTTCAAATCGGGTAGGCGGTCCTTTAGCTTTAGCAGCAGCTACAGCGGTGGCTGAACTCGAGTTGACTTCCCCAGGTCGCGGAGAGGCGTTTGGATCGGATGCTGTCGGCGTATCTCGCAAAGGGCTACCTGACCTGAAGTTTGGAAGTTTCAATTCAAGTGTCAAATTCACATGGATGGAAATGGCTTACTTGGTCTCATATGTCATCCGTGGATTAGTCTTTACTCTCGCACTCGGATCAGGTCTGACAGCATGACTTGTGCCATGTGCCTTCATATGTTGTCTTCGAAGTTCTGATGCTGCGATTTCTGCCCGACGAATCTCTTCTCGATTGGCTCGGCGGTTACGCTCATTGAGTTCTGACATGAGAGTATCAGATTTGACAACAGGTGCGCTGGCTTGTTGCAAGAGTGAATTCAGTCGTTCTACGAGTTCAGTGTCATTCTTTGCAGCAGCTTGATCTCTTTCGCTCTCAAGCCTTAGTCTTTCTGAAATCGTCAAAGTCGTGGGGCCTTGACCTTGGGCACGCATAGCCTTTTTGGCACGGACTTGAAGGGTGATGGTTGCCTGTTAGATCGGAGAACATATGGAGGTGTAAGATGGGCAAATTCAGGTCAATTTCTTAATAAGGGTGTGACGATAGATAGAGTCTTCACCTCGTCTTTCACCCAGTCCTGGTATTTGGTGATGCTGTTCAGTTTCCGACTGACTTCCTTCTTCGTGGGGATCGGAACTTTATACTTTTGACATTCACCCACTAGAAATAACCATTCATTCTGGGGGTGCAGATACAAAAATCAAAAGATGTGCAGAGGGCGTTGCTACCTTGAGACTCACCTCTTGAATTGGCGAGTTAGATACTCTGTCCAGTGAAATGACCTTCGAGGAATTGGCAATCACTACCTGTAAGGTCTTAGTAGTCGCCTGATTCTCGACCTCATAGTATTTCTGGTTGTCAATATCACCTTTTCAACAAAATCTTAGTCAGCATGCATAATTCCGCAAGGGGTGAATTAGACCTCATCTCACATTTGACTTCAGCAACACGATACTTGACTTCACGCTTCGGATCATCTTTGGCAAATCCAACAGATACACGCACCCACATCCCTTTGACATAGTCTGAGAAAAAGTCAGTGCAGCATAGTTCTGCAGCCCGAGTGCGAGTAAGTGTAAGGGAGCGGATATCATCAAGGGAAGCGTCATCTAGATTGGTCTTCTCAGTTGCTTTTCGAGAGTTGCTCTGTTCATGGGCGATATCCTGCTCTTCAGCCAAATCGGCTTCACCATCTTCGGACCGATCCCAGCCCTGCTCATCACTCCGCTGCTTCGTTACTTGGTTTTCATTCGAGTCATCCGGCTATCAAAAGAAGATGAATGAGTATGTGGGGAGTCACTCATTAACAAATAGATTGTTGGATAAACAACAATACGTACCTTGGGGCGTTTTCCTTTAGCTTGCCTCTTCAACTTCAATTCATCTAATTTTTGAGCTTTCTCATGAGTAGTGCCAGTTCTACTCTTTTCTCGACCACTACTTCGCTTGCTAGATTGCTCATCTCGTGCTCTGACCATATTTTTGACATTTTCTCGATCTCGAATCTTTTGTAATTCATCTTGTCTTTCACCCAAAGTTGCCTCACGTTCTAATTCAGATAGAGATTGTATTCGAAGCTTATCCTGCAGATCGATATAAATACCTTCGTAAGGAAAAGGGTTACTGTTGACCGTTCGGCTCTCCTGTTCTTCCTCCTCATCATCAGACTTTGCGACTAAACCAAAAACAAAAACGTTCAAAAACATTTCAAAAAGCTGGATAAAGTGTTAGATTGTTTGAGCTTACCCTGAATCGGCATAGCAGCCTCCGAACCAGAAGACATTTCCATATCTGATTCGCTACTGTTGTTCACTCAAACAAAAGCGGCAAGATGATGAGTGGTGAGGTAACAATGAAGAGGATAGATGAGAACCACCTACTCCATATCCACTTTTTTTCTACGTTTTATCTTTTTTCCATGTTGTAGTGACTTTCGAGATCGTTTTGAGGATGATATTGGAGCTTGGGTGACATCACCAGCCAAAGCAAGGAGTTCATTGTCGATATCAGACATGATGAACTTGCTAGCTAGAAGGAATCCTTGATAATTATGATTTGGTTTTCAAGATGTTTATTGATATATCCTTTGAAGTCCGAATGTGATAGTGTGAAGTTGAATGTGGATGTAAGCTTGAATGTGACTTGAGAAGTTGGATGAGGTTGAAGGTGGTTGTATGGTTTTAAATTTCAAACTGCAACCACCACCTCGAGTAGATATAACCTATCGCACGTCTTACAGCTGTCAGTGAAAGCCCTGTGCCATAACATGACATCCTTAGCGTTTGACCTGTTTCCTACATGTCACCCACCAGTTTGCTATTCCCCAGACTCAGGAGTCCAAACTTCAAAGACTTCAACCTCAACCTCACGCTTCAAGTGATATTGCATTCCAAGGACAGGGCAACCGATCAATTGAACACTTCAAATCAAAAGTCATGACAAGTAATAATAACGCTGTACCCATTGATCATCCCGAGTCTTTCAAACATCAACAACCTCCGTCCACACCTCGCGATGCAAGAATCATTGCAATATTATTAGCCTCAATGGGAGTTCAATCTGCCTCTGAAGGTGTCGTCAGAGTCCTCATGGAATTTGCTCATCGTAAGACGCTCTTTGAATCGATATTTTTGCTTAACTGGATTGCTTCACTGATTCTTTACATCCAATCATTTTTGAATTTGGTGGTCTTAGGATACACCGTAGATATTCTCTCTGATGCTATGGTTTATGCTGATCATGCCGGCCGAGCACACGCAGCTCATGGTCCAGATGTCGAAGATGTTCGTCTTGCAGTACAAGCAAAAGTAGAGCATTCCATGAGCGGACCAATGAGTAAAGAAGTAAGAATCTTCACTATCATTCCGCTTTCACTCTTCTTGAATCTGACTTTTGGCAAACTTCTTTCCATTATCTAGTTTCTTCTCAATCTTGCCGATACTCTCAATCGGACCTCATTACCTCCCATACCTGAGCGATATGGGATCCGTTTACCTCCGGAGAAAGATCGCCTCACTGCGCCTAACTTTGATATCGCACCCAAGGCACCCTCATCGACAACCGATCAACCCATTAACGCTGATGAGGATATGTTTGGAGGACTGGACGATGATGATGATGACGATGATAGCGATAGTAGTAGTGATACAGAAACTGGACTTTCACCCATCACCACAGTCAACGGCAATGGTGCCAATCTTGATCATGGCAAAAGAAGACTGGAAGATATGGAGGATGATGATTATGACTGATACGGATACCTCTTAAAACAAGTGAAGCCCCTTTGTGTGCTTCTGGTGTATTTGTATGTAACTCGAAATGTGTGCAATTTTCAACTTGATAGCATTAGGTAGCATTCCGATTTGCCGTGTATGCCGCGATTCAATTGGGTCTCTGTAAGGGTTCTATGACAGTGTCTACGAAAAGCAGACGGGAGGGCAGGGACGCGACGAGGCAGTCCATACTGTGAGGGATAAGGGTATTTCGAACGCATGTTTGAGAATTCAGGGGGAGGTGACGGATTGAGAAGCTCAGTGGACAGTGCGCAATGTAAGTAGGATCCAACGCATGATGCGGGCAGGTCATTTCAAGGTTAAAGTTTGACATTAACAGCACATCGACAGGGTCAAAAATAATAGCAAAATTACAAAACAATAAAACATGAAGAGAAGCCAAAGGTGGAAGGACGCGAAAGGAGCAGCAGGAGACTACTTGGCTGATGAGTATTTTGTGACACCCTCTGTAGAAAGAAAAGTACTGGACATCAGTACAAGGTCGAGTGAGTCGAGGGAGCAAAGATAGGCTTACTTGTTCCTTCTGAAATGGCGTGCTTGCTAAGTTCACCGGGAAGAATGAGTCGGACTGCTGTCTGGATCTGATGGACAAATGAACAAATGAGTATACGCAAACACACAAGCTAGGATGTAGTAATGAGATGACTAACCTCTCGAGATGAGATTGTTGACTTTTTGTTGTAAGTTGCAAGTTTGGAGGCTTCACCAGCAATTCGCTCAAAGATATCGTTGACAAAGGAGTTGAGGATAAGCATGGCTTTGTTGGAAATACCGGTATCAGGGTGAACTTGTTTGAGGACTTTGTAGATGTAGATACCGCTGTTGGAAACGTATTGTCAGCACTGAGAAAAGCAAGCGGAATAAAGTGTCGAGACTCACTAGGTTTCTTTACGGGTCTTTGATCGCTTCTTCTTCTTCTCACCATCAGCAGCAGGTTTGGCAGGGCCCTTTTTGGCTGCTGTTGAAGGTTTCTTGGCAGCGGAGGCAGGTGCTTTGCCACCAGAGCTGGCAGGGGCCTGAAAGAAAAACTCAAGTCAGACGGATGTGATTCACGAGAAGAATAGAACAAGAACATACTTTGGAAGCAGGCTTCTTCTCGGCAGCGGCAGATTTTGGTGGGGCCATTGTAGTTTGGGTTGAGTGAGGTGATGTGTTGAGGGTGAAGGAATAAGTTGAGGTGGCTGAAGGTTTGTGTATGTGAAGTGGGATAAGGATGATGGAGCCGCAGAGAGGGAAGTAGGAGCTCTCCTTTTGAAGGCAACGAACTGAGACGCGATTGAGGTTAAGGATAAGCTGAGTGGCGCGTGCCGAGGGAGTTACAAGTGCGAATTGCGATAGTACAGAACCTTAGTCTGGGTTGCTAAGGATGCGCGTGCGCAGCTTAGTGTAACAAGCTGGCCAATCAGCGCGTCTAATCGCGCTCGAGCAATTCGCAACCACGCACTTCGGATTCCTAAGCCGACTGAACATCTTAACTTACAGGTAAAGTACGGTCCAAAACCTAGTTTTTACCATTAAGCTAGTGGTCTGATTCTCGATCCAAGGTCGCGACTTGTGACTTAGCATCGCGTCCTTTGATAACCTCAGCTGGTGGATCATTTCACTTGAAATACCGCACACCTTCTGCCCCTTCGAAGAGTCTCCCCACCACACAATCACACACCATCATCCACTTCATCCAATCTATCCAGCTCACAGTCAGCTTCAACTTCACTTCAACTTCATCCTCAACAAAATAAAACATGTCTTCCGGTGGTAAATCAGGTGGCAAGGCCGGTGGTGAAAAGACCTCTCAATCACGATCCGCCAAAGCTGGTCTTCAATTCCCAGTCGGACGTATTCACCGACTTTTGCGAAAAGGTCACTACGCCCAACGTATCGGTGCCGGTGCACCTGGTATGTTCTTACTTTCTATGATGTCCCTATTTACGATCCACTAATTCTTGGATTGCCTTTCAGTCTACCTTGCTGCAGTTCTCGAGTACCTTGCAGCTGAAATTCTCGAGTTGGCCGGTAACGCAGCCCGAGACAACAAGAAGTCACGTATCATTCCTCGACATCTTCAACTTGCCATCCGAGTCAGTCGATTTTGTGCAACTTTACCTCCGAGCGACGCTGACTGGTCTTTTTTTATCGCACAGAATGACGAAGAGTTGAACCGCCTTCTTGGCCACGTTGTTATCTCCCAGGGTGGTGTTCTTCCTCAAAGTGAGCAGCGCTCTTACCCTCTTCGTCTTGCCCGCCCCTTCAAGCTCTTGCTCACAACTATTTTCTTTGATCACAGTTCACGCCGAGCTCCTCCCTGCCAAGTCAAAAGGCAAAGCAGGAAAGAATTCACAAGAAGTCTGATTGTTGTTTGCCGTCTGTTCTCGTTTTTGATTTCGACCGTGTATTATGTTTTTTCTCCGACTTTATTGTTCTTTGATTCGCAATCAATCCCTTCGCTGCTCTCAGCGTAGAACTCAACTTTATTCCAGCTTGCATTACACTAAACGATGTGTATGCTCCGAGTCCCAACTTTTGAACAGCTTGTCGTGCCCTCCCCTGCTCCCCGTGTGACTTATACTATAACATGCAGCTTGAGAGCAAAACCCACACCAACCGCTCGCGACGTCTGTTCATTGTGGCTCGCCCTCGATCATCAACGTTGCTTGATCCTTGCCAAATTCGCCTTGGCCGTGGATACAGTCAACCCTCGATGTATGCATCTAGTATATATGCATATCACGCTATAGGGAGTGGAAATTTTGGGCCGATCTTTTGGGAACGCAGAGCGCCTCAAACTTAACTAAGAGCATCCCCAGCCGTGTGCTGTCAACCGTGCCGTATTCAGATTTGGGGTATTTTTATCCACAGCCGTTACCCCCAAACACATACCTAGCTTGGGCAACTGTCTACGTGCGAGTCGAAATAGGCCCAATATGGTCTTTTCCGCTTGCACCCCAAATCCCTCTGTACCTTACTTCTCCCATAAAATCCGACTTCTACGATCTGACTCTCCGCAAATCAGACACTTTGATGATCAACTAATCCATAATACATCTCCCCTATTATGCTACAAACCGTACTGTAGGGAACCATGGCGGTACATTCTTCAAAAGTCATACCTGAAACCCTGCCCTAAACGATCTGTGCGACCCTCTGTATGTTACAGATTTACGGCATGGCTGGGGATGCTCTAAGTCCCTCATTGAGCTCAAGCCGCTCAAACGAGGGACTTAGACGCAATCTTGTTTTTTTGGCATGAGATCGGCCGGGGCTTTTGGCCAAAAACTGGCCTCCCTGTAGAACTTTTTTTTACAATTTCAACATGTCTCCGTCCCCATAATAAAAAACATGTGCCTGGGTCTCCTCTTCAACCTCCCCTATCACAATTGTGATATCATTTTTTGGACCAGAGATAAGTTGAAAGTTGTTGTTGTGCACTGCGCACCAAAACTGAAATTTCAGGCGTGGACTGATCAAAATCACTGTGAATTTTGACTTTGAGCCCTCAACAAATTTGTATATATCTTGTGAAGCACACAAGCTATCTCAAAGCTGAGAGTCTGACATTGTACAAAAAAACTAGGCGTATGTTTTTCATTATGAGCAAGCAGTAATGTTGAAATCATAAAAAAACGTTTATAAGGAGGCCAGTTTTTGGCCAAAAGCCCCGGCCAATCTCACACCAAAAAAACAAGATAGTGTCTAAGTCCCTCATTTGAGCGGCTTGAGCTCAACAAGGGACTTAGTTGAGTTTGAGAGCGCCTGCAAAAAAAATCCTTGATGCATAATGAGTATTGCATACAGAAAGCTGCCAAAAACGCTTTTATGCTTATAGAGTGAGTAAAAAAGTGTGCATGTAAGCATATGCTACCATATTGAGGGTGAATATGCTTACATTGTTGTAATAAGTTTGTATGTAGTCAATCTACGTAAGTTCTTTGATAGCTTTAGGTAAAAAAGTCAACTATCAACTCTACTGTGTGAAATATACAATGATTGTTGTATTCCTTTTTCTTTTTACATGGTATTCTTCTCTTCAAAGCCATTTAATTTTTTGAAGTAGTTGCAAACATTTCAAATCAATTGTTTTATTAGATGCTATGTTCAGATTTTGTCATCCCTGATCTGGAAGAAAGATTGATTCTTCTCTACATCTTTGAAATCATTACATATCTCAATAATCAATTCCTTAAAAATTATGTCTGATTCATTGCTTCAAGACCTCATGACTGAAACAATGCTTCTTGCTCAACACTGCCCAAACATTGAGCCTGCTACAAAAGATGATTACATATTTGTCACCTTCTGTGAGGTACCATTATTTCCTGGTTTAGCTCCTGAAAAAGTTGGATGGGAATTGGTCAAGAAGCTTGATGCTGTTTTTGGTATTGACTGTGGAACAAAGCACTTTCAAAAAGGAAAGCACAGAATTCAATTATTTATTGAATACTCAGCTAAAGCCAAAAAAATGGATGACAATAGTGAAGGTATTGTAAAGTTCAAACTTCAACATGTTTGCTCAAAGCTGAAAGGTGAGCACAATTCCTTATGAACATTGATTTACTCTTTTTTTAAAAATTTGTTTTAGAGCTTGGTTCCAAGGTTCCAGATAGCTCAGTGCAATTTCTAGGATCAAGCAAGAAATCCACCCTTGCAGCTGCTCCTAAGCCCACTGTACCCAAGCAACTCCAATCAGCCAGCCCAGAATCTTGGCCAGTAGATTTGACAAAAGACTCCAGCGAATCTGATTCCTCCAGCAATGATCCTTCCTCGCCTCAATCAAAGAAGAAACAGAGCATCACTTCCCCCAAGTGTCCCAAGTTCAAGGCATCTTGTATTGTACATGATCTCAAGTTCAAGCTCAAAGTTGTTAGATGGCAATACAAGCACAAAGCTACTCAGAATGAGACTTCTCAAAAATTCAAAATAACTCAATCTTCACTCAGTCGTTGGCTTGCTCAACATAAGCAGATGGAGGTGAGTGCTCTGCACAGCGGTGGAACTGTCAAGTGCCAAAGGAAAGCGCTGTACCCTAATTTGGAGGAAGCTCTATTCCATTGGGTCATTGAAGCAGTAGCTCATAAACTTTTCATCAGCAACAAATTCCTTTGCAAGAAAGTGGTATCTATAGCTCCTCTCCTAGGTGTTGAAATGGAGTTCTCTCATGGGTGGATTGACAAATTCAAAAAGCAATGCAACATCCAAAGCAAACTCATGTCTGGTGAAGCTGGGACTGTTGATCCTGTCAGCACTGAAGAAGCTCACAAGTCCCTCATTGGAATCACCAAGGATTACACGCCTCGCAACATCTATAATGCAGATGAAACAAGCTTGATGTACAAGTGAGTCTTGAAGTCCCTTTACTCTGTGATTGATATAGTCTAATGTCATCCTTTCTTCTCTTCTAGAATGCCACCTAATTGTACTCTTTCAAATGTACAGACATCTGGACTGAAGGGTAATAAAGTCTGAATCACTTACCATTTTGGCTGCAATGCCGATGGCAGTGACAAGCTTGAACCCTTGGTCATTGGTGTCTCTAAGAATCCAAAGCCTTTCGGACAACATCCCACATCTTACTATGGTTTTGATTATGTTTCAAACACAAAAGCTTGGATGACAGCAGTCATCTTTGGTGAATGGCTAAGCAAGCTGGATGCCCAATTCCGAATGGAACATTGAAACGTTCTCCTCCTCCTTGATAACTTCTCTGGTCATGTGGTTGCATGTAAAACCATCAAGCTCACCAACATCAAAGTTCACTTCTTTCCTCCCAACATGACTAGTGTCCTACAGACATGCAGGCATAATTGCCGCCTTCAAAGCTCACTATTGAGGTGCTTACCTACGCCGTGTAATCCGAAGATACAAAAACAATCCCACATGGACATCAAAAGCAATATACAAACTGAATCTCCTCGAATCCATGCAAATGGCTGCACGAGCCTGGGACAAAATCTCTTCTGAGACAGTCAAGAACTGCTGGAAACACACAAACATTGTTGCAGCCTTGTCACCCAACACCACATCAAGCTCTTGGTCTGATCACTTTGAACATATTCTAGCTGATGATCCTGAACTTCAAAGTGCAATCAAATCAACTGCAGAACAACTGTCAGCGCTAGGAAACTGTGAAAGATTAGAAGAAAGCAGAAGTAGCTCCCGTATCAGCATCCAAGAGCTTCTCAACCCCAAGATTGAACAACAAACTCCAGAAGGCGAGGCACCAATGCTCTCTCTCAAAGAAATTGTCAAGAGGACATCAAATGAGAAACCAATTGAAATCCAAGATTCAGATAGCAATCCTGAACCAGAAGAAGTCTATTGTGAACCTTGGACAATGGTTCAAATCTCTACGGCAATCAAGGAGATAAGGTATGCCTTAGCCAGCCGGCCAAACAAACCCGGTGGCACAATCAACTGGGCATCTTGTGTTTGATCTTTGGATAAGATTGGTGACAATGTAAATCACATACGAGTTTCATCACTGAAACAAACTAGTCTTTCGGAATGCTTTGGACCTGTAGCTTTGACTTCAAACTCAGCTTCAACTCCTCAATCTTGAACCGATTTCTATCTATTTTACTCGATTCCACTACATTCCTCCTTGTCAGCTTGAGATCTAAAGTGGTTGCTGAGTAATGAGCTCAAGTTGAAAAACACTACCTAAGTAGATGAAGTAAGTGTTGAATTACGCACAGGCTTTGTGGTAGCAGGTGGGCTACTATAAATTCTAGCCTAACAATTTCTATAACCAGAACAAGAGATGATTAGAACTTCTATCTAATCAATGAATACAGAGTCTCTAAGAGAGGTGTTAACTCACTTACTTGGACAACTCCTCGTGGAGTTTTGGAATCCGAAAAAGTGCTGTTTAAAGATCTGAATCAAATAAACGCCTTCCACTGAGTCTTAAATAAGATCTCAATAGGTAATGAATCACTCCCTAGACCTAATTCTATGAAAGTGAAATCGGGGTGAAGTGAATCTAAGAAAAGTCTTAAGGATTGCGCAACTAGTATTCTTTTAAGAAACAAAAGAAAAGGAACAATTTTAAAAGCAAGACGGTGAGCTATTGGAAAGGTTAAGTTCTCATGCTATGGTCTAAATTTTAAATCTAATACGGCTTGGTTTCTGTTGAAAGTAAAACTATCCTGTTTTTGCAAATAAGAGTTTTTTGATAAATTTTGTTGGTAAAGTTTTTGGTGGTCCTTCTTCTTTCTTTCGAAGAGGTCCTTGGTGTTTAACTAGGAAATTTATCGAGATGGCGTCATCGAGTAGCGTGGTAACCCTAGTTAAACCGGTCTGGTTTTAATTAAGGGTTCTGGGTCCACTCTTCCTTGATCCAGGTTGGTGGTTTC